CCTAACCTTTTTCAATATGCAATTGATCAAGCATACACTAAGGATGTTTTAATTATGATTGGTGGGTGACAGGAATGCACAAAAGTAAAGATCTGGTCTGGTAGTTGGAAAAGAAAACCTTGGTGATAGAAATGATGCCACGGGTTGCATGGTAAACTTTTGTACTATCAATTATTTATTCATTGCAAATGCATTTTTTTAAAAAGCCCCGTAAATGGCAACTATGTACATGGACCTCACCTAATAGAATACATAGGAATCATATAGACTTTATCTGTGGGAAGAGATGGCTGGAGAAAGTCAGTATCAGCAGTCAAAGCTAAGGGCCAACTGTGGAACACTCTTATGCAAGTTCAAAATGAAATTTAACTAAAATAAGTCTATAAGAACAAAAATATAACCTTAAATATATCCTAAATGAATTTTAAATACCATCTCAAGGATAGACTTCATGCAATGAACAGTAATGACTAAAGATCAGACGAGTTGTAGGATGACATTGTCCAGTACAAAAACAGGTTTTTTACAAAGACAGGAAAGAAAGGAAGGAAGGAAGGAAGGAAGAAAGAAAAGGCCATATGAAGAAGAAAATGTGGCATCGGGATTGGAGGAAGACTTATTAACATCCATGTGTTATGCAGATGATACAACTTGGCAGGAAATGAACAAGATTTGAAATACTTGATGAAGAAGAGCAGACTATAGCTTTCAGTAGGAATTATATTTCAGCATCTAGAAAACAGAAATCCTCATCACTAGACTAACAGGTAACATTGTGATAGATGCAGAAAAGGTTAAAATTGTCAATGATTTCATTTCACTTGGATCCACAGTCAACACCCATGGTAGAAATAAGCCTTATTGCATAGGAAAAATCTGCTATCCTGGATCTCTTAAAGTGTTAAAAAGCAAGGTTGCCAGTTTAAATATGAAGGTGGGCTTGACCCAAGCCATGGTATTTTCAGTTCCTTCATATATCCATGAAAGTTGTACAGTGAATAAGGACGACTGTAAAACAATTGATGTTTTTTTCAATTGTGCTGTTGGAGAAGAGTATTGAATTTCCATGGACTACCAAAAGAACATACACCTCTGTCTTGGAGGAAGTGTAACTAGGATGCTCCTTAGAAGCAAGGTGGTGACACTTTGTCTTACATACTTTGGGCATGATGTTCGGAAGCATAGATCCTTAGAAAAAGACATCATACTGGCCAGAGTAGAGATTTGGCCATAAAGAGTAAGAGCATCAAAGAAGAAAGGTTGATACAGTGACTGCAGCAATGGTCTTGAGCATGGCAGAGATCACGGGGCTGGCACAGGATAATTGTTCATAGGGTCGCTATGAGTTGTGGCTGATTTGATGATATAACAGCAGCCACATGAGTATCACTTCAATAGATTGATTACATTAGATTTTTTTAGGAAAGTTAATTGCACTGCATTAGTATATTAGCTCACACTCAGATGTCGGGGATAGGAATCCAAAATATGTTTTTGGGGAACATAGTTCAATCCATAGTAACTAGGGGTATGTGTATGTATATATATGTATGTATATATGTGTGTTTATATATGTATGTATGTGTATACATAATATGTGTGTATATGTATATGCCTGTGTATGTATGTATGTATTTATATATCTATATATCTACATCTATATATCTGTATCTGTACCTCTATCTCTCTCTCTCTCTATCTCTATCTCTTTATCTAGGACATTGTTCAGTCCATGTTTATTAACTTTGTGCCTGATTATCTTCAGTAGGCTCCATGCCATTACCATCTTTCCATCCTCCTATGTGGCTTGTACATTTTGAAAAAGATGATGCAGCAGCAGAAATTTTGTGCTTAAGAGGGTCTTAGGGTTGAGGATTGGACCCCCTGCATTGGGCTCTGTTTAAGACGTTGAAATGGTGCAATGCCTTGTACCGTCACTTGTCCTTCCTCCCATGTTAATTTTATCTATTGTTGAGAATTCTTCTCCAGTAAACTATTCACCAATTCAACAGTTTCTACATATGCAAATCAGCGATACTGATTGTATTCTTCATGTTTCACCCTGTGGCTGTGACATGTCCCTCCCCCATTAATATAAACCGCACTGTTCCATGAGGTTCTAATTTAATGATGAATTGCTGCTGTCACTTTAAATGTCTTTTTTTTAGATTTAAAAAGTAAAAGGATTCTATGTCTTCAACATCCTCTACTGGATGTGTGTGTGCTTCTCATTTGTACACATGGTACTGCACTCTAGATTTCGTTCTTTGTCTAACTACCTTTCTCCTCATGACTATGGCTGGAGAATGCAGCCAGGTTTCTGCGTGTAGATCCAGCTCTTTAGCTCAGTCTGCTCTGCTGAACTGCCTTCCAGGTACCATAGGCCCCTGGTCTTGAGCACCTGGTGTGCTTCTCCTCTGTAACTGCACAAAATATATTCTGCAATGAATATTCTTGCACATGCCCTTTTATGGACCCATCTGAGCGATTTCTGGGATCTGTGCCCAGGAGTGGGATTGCTGGGCTGTGGGAAAGGCACTTCATTTCATTAACTACTGCCCCTGTTTTCATTTATTCATTTGAAATTTACCCAGTGCCTATGACGCGTCAAATTTTATTCTAGGTGCTAGGGACATAGCAGTGGGCTGTAGACAACGCCCTGTGCTCCTGCCAAGGGAGCTGATTAAAATCTAAAATTAAAATCTCAAGTTGCAATTGAAGAATATGTTAGATTATGAGAAAAACTATGCAGACAAAGAAAGCTGAGAGGGCAGGGCTTGGGCACGGGGTAGGCAGTTACCTTAGATAGAATGGCTGTTCCAGGCTCTGCTGAGGTGGCATTTGGGCAATGACTTGAAGGAGTTGAGGTAGTGAGAAGATATCTTAGAGGACAGGTCTTCCAACTAGGGATTAGCAGATGTAAAAATCCTGCAATTTTGAAACTTTTAAGTAAACAAAAATATATGTTAAGTTGGCCTACAATTTATCAGATCACTTGATCTTTTCTGTTAAGCTTTAACACTTATCTGCTTACTTTTAATTTTCAGTTATATGCATGTCCTTGATTCTTAAGCTATTCATCCAATCTTGGTTCTTTTGTAAACTGTAATTAGGTTTATGAGAGTTATGGTGACTTAGTGGTAAGAAATTGAACTGCCATCCTGAAGGTATACAGTTTGAATCCACCAGCTGCTCCATGTCAGAAAGCTGGACATTGAACTCTCATGTGATTTATTGTCTCTGCAGACCTCCTGGAGGATCAGCAGTGTCAATTCAAACTTGATAGTACATACAGACTCTTCCACAATTAGGCATATAGGCAGTGGATAATGTTAAACCCTCAAATAGATTGTTTTTGCTATGGCCATGGTCATATGGCTAGGCCATAAACTCCTATTGGAGATCTAGCTCAAAATAAAGCAAAACAAAACGTCCAGTGATATTCTGAGGTTATTAAAATTCAGTACCATTTAACATTCTCTGCCAGGTTTCTGTAGTGGGAATTCAAAGCCAGGCAAAGATCCTGAACTATCAAAGACAGATTCAGGTCTTGCTAGGGCTGGAAAGGTGAAAGGCACATTTTTAAGTACAGAGGGCCCTTGTCATTCTTGAAAGCAGCCTCCCAAGACCGCCTTAACTCCTAGCTCCGAGTTCCTGACGTGTTTATACAGGCTCCTGGCTTCCACCTGAGTCACATGACTCGTGGAGAGGCAAGTGTTTCCTGTGCATAGTCTTACTGCCTCCTTAGTATTCTTCTCTTTTAAACAAAGAAACACAGTTATACAATTCCCACCTCCCCCTTCTTCTTCTTTTTTTTTTTTTTAAGATTAAGAGCAGAAGTTAACAAAGTCAAATTGAAATAAATATGCTGGTTTTGAGCTGTGACAAGCTGAGTGCTTTCTTTTCCACTGGAACTTGAGTGGAGTGAATAAGGACAGACCACGGGGACAGTCACGCTGAGAGTGCAGAGTTCCACGCCTGTAACAGTGTCTCCTGCATTGTCTGTGAAGTTTATGGTGCTCAGAGGATTTCGAGCTTTATTAAAACAATTTTTTTATGTCTCTTAATCTTGTAATTAATGCTTGTTATCCATGCAGGTGTGTTTTAATCAAGTGAAGCAGATGCTGGTTTCTCGGCTGTTATTAAAGTTCAGATGTGAATGTAGGATTCATGTTTGTGGACTTTTGATGGTTACGAATTTTTAGATCGCATATTTTGTAAGAAATATTTAGACGACTTATCACAATCACATCCCTTTTAAAAGCATTATCTTTTGAATACGTTCATAGGGCGATAATATCCTTTGCATGAAGAGAGGTAGACGTATGAATGTGCCATTCCATCCTCCCCAACCCATGACACCAGCCAAATATCTGCACGTAATTAATGTCCTGATGCAAAAATCATGCTTGTCTAATGCTAGATAGATGTTGGAAATCTTGTTTCTTATTAGGGCGCTTATATGATGTAGCTTAGGAGGATAAATGTTACATGAGACTGTGAATGAATATAATGTAGTCCATTATGCATTGTGATTTTGAAATGATTATGAGAGTTCCCCCGTGCCACACTGATTAAAGATACATTACAATCTTATTTGGAGATAAATCTTTAGTTTTTCAGCTGTCAGGCAACCCTGGGTAACAGCAATGTTTTATATTAATTTATAAAATCACAGGCTACATAAATTACATCACTAAGATTATTCTTTTATTCAATATATTTCAAAACTCAAGCTGCATTTAAAATGAGACCGAACGTTCCTTTTGCCAATCAGCATATTTAAAATATGCTCATACTAGTTCTTTGAATGGCCTGGCTTTTGTCTACAAGTTATTAAAAAATGGTAATGATTATAAATCTCTCCAATTATCAGACTTCCTCATGTGATCACTTGTTTTAGTAACTGCAGACTTAAACAGTAGTGATTGGAATATGAAATTCCGACCATTTGTCTAGAAAACATCAATGTTATGTATGTCTTTTTTTTCTCCACCCAGGTACCATTTACATTTACACTGTTTGCCGAAAACTGATGGCCAGCGGTCAGTCTTCAAAGGTATGAATGTGCTGATGAAATATTTCCCCCTGTATTTCCTGATTTTCTTAAGGATTTCTGTTATACAGCCAACTGAATATAAATGAAAACAAGATAATTGAGTACATTTTATAACAATTATTGAATGAAAAAAAATTGTGGACTGTAAAGTTTTAATAAAAAGAAGGGACATTCCTATAATTGGTGGGTAATCTCCAGGGTCCCTGTCTCTCGTATTGTTGAACTGATACTGAATATCCATCTGTTTACAGAACTTTAGGTAACCATCCATCTCAGCTTGCTCAGCACAATCTTGAGTTTATGCCTTTTGTCCTGACATGATTATCGATAGTACCTTCTCCTGCTCTTTAAAGTGTCTAGATTTAAATGCCAAATTATATGACTTCTTTATTTATGGCATGCTAGGCACTTGGATTTCACTCTGCTTCAAGTGTTTAACCTGTATGTATGGACTACTTGCTAGATAGGTGGATGAAACCCAAAAAATCAGTCATGTTTGAGTGCAGTGAATGTTGTTGTTATGTGCCGTCGAGTCGTTTGTGACTCATAGCGACCCTATGCACAACAGCCCTAAACCCTGCTCTGTCCTGCGCCAGCTACACTGCCTCTGACACACCCATCCCGATTACCCCAGTCACCGAATCAATCCATCTCATAGAGGGTCTTCCCCTCCTGCGCTGTCCCTCCACTCTCCCAAGCATGATGTCCCTCTCCAAGGACCTGTCCCTCCTGGCAACGTGTCCAAAGTATGTCAGACGAAGCCCCAGAATCCTTGCCTCCAAGGAGTAGCTTGGTTTAATCCTCTCCAAGATGAATCTGTTTGTTTTCCTGGCAGTCCAGGGTACATTCAGTACTCTTCTCCAGCACCACAGCTCAAAGGCATCAACTCTCCTTCTGTCCTCTCTAGTCATTGTCCAACTCTCTGATGCATAACAAGCAATTGCAAAGACCATGGCCTGTATCAGGTGCACCTTAGTCTCCAGAGAGACACCGTTGCTCTTGAGTACTTTAGAGAGGTCCCTAACAGCAGACTTTCCCATCGCGATGTGCTTTTTGATTTCCTGACTGCTGGTGCCAGGAGTGTTGACTGTGGAGCCAAGCAAACTGAAGCTGTGAACAATCTCAATCTCTTCACCATCCATCCTGAAGCTGCCAGTGGTGAGAATCTTTGCCTTCTTGACATTGAGCCTCAGTCCATACTGAAGGCTGCAGTCCTTGACCCTCCCCAACAAGTGCATGAGGTCCTCCTCAGTTTCAGCAAGCAGTGTTGCGTCATCTGCATAACGCAGATTGTTAATAGATCTTCCACCAATCCTGATGCCACAATTCTCCTCATAGAGCCCAGCCTCTCGGATAATCTGCTCTGCATACATGTTGAAAAGGTATGGAGACAGGATGCATCCCTGGCGTACACCCTTCCCAATTTTGAACCATGCAGTGTTACCCTGCTCTGTTCTGACTGCTGCCTCTTGGTCCAAGTATAGGTTTCACATTAGCACAATTAAATGTTCTGGGATTCCTATTCTTCTCAGAGTCAGCCACAGTTTGTTATGATCCACACAGTCAAATGCCTTTGCATAATCAATGAAACACAGATAGACATTCTTCTGGTATTCTCTGCTTTCAGCCAAGATCCATCTAACATCAGCAACAATATCCCTAGTACCATGACCCCTTCTAAACCCAGCCTGGACTTCTGGCAATTATCTGCTGATGTGCTGTTCTAATAATTTTTGTGTAATCTTCAGTAGAATCTTGCTTGCATGTGAAATCAATGACACTGTTCTGTAGTTTCCACACTCAGTTGGGTCACCCTTCTTTGGAATGGGAACAAATATAGATCTCTTCCAGTCAGTTGGCCAAGTGGTTGTTCTCCAGATTTCTTGGCACAACTTGGTGAGCACATCCAGGGCAACATCTGTTATCTGAAATACTTCAATTGATATACCATCTATTCCTGGGACATTATTTTTCACTATTTCCTTCAAAGAAATGAATGTAAGAGGCATTTTAAAAAAACTAAGATTCTCATTTTCCAGTGCTCAGTTTTATCTTGAAAAGTCTGCAGTATTGAGCAGTGTGATTCATAGTGTGTTGCAACTGCTAACTCAAAGACTATGTATATTTGTTGCTTTGAATTCACTAGCCCCTGCAGAGGTGGGAGAGAGATGGGCAGTCTTCTTCCATTATAATTTCAAAACAAACCAAAATGATGACTCAGAACTCAGAGCTATTAAGTTGGTTCAGACTCATAGCCAGAAGGACACCATGCTCAGATGGGCGGAGGGACAGTGCAGGAGAGGAAGACCCCAGATGAGATGGCTTGATACAGTAACCAGTGCCATGAATACAGGTATATTGCAATCAGTGAGACTGGCTCAGCACAGAGCTGGCTTCAGATTGCTATATATAGCTGTGGGTCACAGGTGACTCAACAGCACCTAATGACAACAACAACAAATCACAACAAAAGGAGACGGCCATCTTTAGCCCAAGCTGGTGGACAAGGACTATTGGAGACTTGTGTCCTTAGGCTAGCATGCAACCCACTACAACCCATACCAGTAGAGCTCCCTCTTTACAATTTACAGCCTAGGAAACCCAGGAGAATGTTGCTGAGAAACACATGTATTACAGCAAATGGACTCCCATTAAAACTGTACTCTGGTCATTGCTGTTATGTGAAACATTACTACTTTATTTTTCTTTATTGCTTTCAAATGAATTGCTTCCCATGAATATTCTAAAACCTAGGACAAGTAATTTTTTTACCAGTATTTCCTCAAAGCGCAATCAGTTCATTGAAACGTGACAGCTCTTAAAAATGAAATCGGAAGCAAAGATATGTGCAAGCTCTATAAGTGGCATCAGTTATGTGTTCTCTTTTGATTTTGTCCCTCAAAATGAAAAGCACTATTACTGACAATGGCTTGAACGTGCTTTGTTCTAGCTTTTTGAGAGTGAATGAAAATGAGGGAGAGTCTGTCTGTAAATTTGGCTTGCAAACTATGCTAAGGATTCCACATTAGGTTCCAGATGATTTCCTAAAAAGAATTTATGTACTCCTGTTGCACTTGCTGTAGCAACAAATCCTGCTTCAGGGACCCAGCATAGTTTGGTCTGCTGAAGCATTTTCCTGCCAAATCTTAGAAGGCCAGAGATATCTGTGCCAACATCTGATTGTCAGTGTTTGTACTAGTTGACACTAGGGGAATTTTAATATGATATGCTAGTCATCTTAAAATAAGTTCTTATTTCTTATATAAGACACCTCCCTGCACCTGCATGTGGTTTTAATTTCTCACAGAATAAGGAGTGAAGAAAAAAAAAAAAGATGCTTCTCTGGTTTCAGTCTTGTGGGATGAAAGTGGGAGAAATGTTGTTATTGCTGTCAAGTTGAGTGCGACCCGTAGCATACCTATACATAACAGAGTTAAACTCTGCCCTATCCAATGCCATCCTCACAATTTCTGAAACATGGAAGCCCATTGCAGTAGTTGCTGTGTCATTCCACCTGGTTAAGAGTCTTCCTCTTTTTCACTGACCCTCCAAGTATGATGTCCCTCTCCAAAAATTAGCCTCTCCTAATAGCATGCCTGAAGTATGTGAGATGAAGCTATCATCTTTGCCTCCAAGAGCACTCTAGCCGCATTTTCTTTAAGACATACTTGTTTGTACTTCTGGCAGTCCTTGGGATGTTCAGTACTCTTCTCCAACACCACAGTTCAAATGTATCAATTCTTCTTTCATCATCATTATTCATTTTCCAGTTCTCAGATGCATAGCAAGTGATCAGAAAGACCATGACCTGAATTAGATGCACCTTAGTCCTCAAACTGACATCATTGCTCCTCAGTAATTTGGAGAGGTCCCTGAATGCAGAGTGAGAAATGAGGAGTGGGAAAAGTTTGGGGTAGTGGATGGTTCTAAAGTTGACACTGTAGATTAAAATGAAATTCTTTCATGGTCCAGTAGAATTAAGTTTCAGAGAAATGAATAATGTTCACCTAGAAATTACCAAACACACAAGGATGTCAGTCTAGAGACTAAGTTGTGTCTGATACAGGCCATAGTATTTACAATTACTTGCTGTGCATCAGAGAACTGGACAGTGACCAAGATTTACAGAAGAATTTATGCCTTTGAGTTGTGGTGCTGGAGAAGAGTATTGAACATATCATGGACCACCAAGAGAACTTGGTCTGTCCTGGAGAGGGTGAAACCAGATTGCTCCTTGGAGGCATGGATTTGAAGCTCCGTCTCACATACTTTGGGCGTGTTGCTAGGAGGGACCAGTTTTTGAAGAAGGATATCATGCTTGGAAGGGTGGAGGGGACAGCACAGGAGAAGAAAACCATGGGTGAGATGTATTGACTGAGTAATCTGGGTTATGAGGGTAGATGTGTCAGAGGCAGTGAGATTTGGCTCAGGGTAGAGCAGGGTTTAGAGCTATTGTGCGTAAGGTCACTATAAGTCACAGTCAACTTGACAGCACATGACAACAAAATGACAACTGGCAGATTGGTTAATGAGCTGAAGTTATAGATCAAAATTAACTCTGTGGGTCAGAGACAGGCCCTTGAAGGTCCAGGCATGTCTTGAGTCCTTTCAGATTGGAAGGATTCTGATTCCATAGCTACCCGAGCTTTTTGTCTGTTTTAGCATAAGTCAGAAGTAGAAGTTCACATGTGATCCTTGGTGATGCTTTTGTGTCATTTTAGGGCAATCTAAACTCCCATAGATCTGGCTATTATAGTAACTGTTTGTTATTACCGAATCCCTATGGTGTGCTAAAGGCTTTGTTTATATAATACTCATCACAATTTTAATGAGGTTGATACTCAACCACCACCACCATCACCACTGCCATTATTAAGGGGAGGGGGCTAAAGCCCCGAACCACCGTAATTCACTGCTGTCGAGTAGGAACTGACTCATATCTGACCCTCCAAAGGGTTTTCAGAGACTGTAAATCACAAGGAGGAGTGGGTCCATGTTTATCCCATGGTGCACCTGGTGGAATCCAACTGCCTGCCTTTGAATTGATGAGACAATTCTCGATCCACTAGGCCACCAGAGCTCACCATCCCCCTTAATTATTATTTATTCAATGCCTTCCATCTATTGAATGTGCTTCTGAGCATTGTCATGTCCTATCTTACTTAATCCTCAAGCCACCACTTTCAAGCAGTAAGAAACCGGGCGGCAATCTTGGAAGCACATGTTTCAAATCCACCAGCTGCTCCACCAGAGAGAGATGGGCAGTCTCCCACGTGATTAAACTGCCTCTGAAACCTCGCTGGAGGGTCAGCTATGGGTTGGTTCCAACTTGACAGTACACAACAACAACATCTCGATGCTCAGATCGCCACTTTCAGGAAAGAACTGAGGTGCAGAAAGAGAAATCGGCTTTAGGTCAGATATCGAGTTAGGGGTGTAGCTGAGGCCTGAGATAAAACAGCATAGCCCTTACTACCTGTCAACCTGTCAACACTATTTTCGTAACAGGTCTTCTGGCTAAATGGAATCCTGTAATGACCCATAGAGTTTTTGCTCACACGGAGGAACATTGAAGGAGGATTTTTTTTTTTTTACATAGGCCTGCATTCCTAAAGTAGAACGTGAAAGAGAGCAAGGCTGTCAGTGAGGTGACTCAACACAGTGACTCCCCAATGGGGTGCATGGCAGAGACTGTGAGGATGGTGCAGGCCAGGGCACGGTGTTGATCTGTGGTTGTAGGGTGGCTATGGGTTGTAGTTAACATGACAACACTTAACAACAGCTGCCTTCCTGCAGAGATCCTAATGACAGGACTGTATAGGGACTCTTTCTGAGTGGGAAACAGTTAATACAGTACTCAGTCTGTTTTCCAGCCAAGCCAAGGGAAGGAGGCCAGATTTCTAAAACCTCTTCTCTAAAGATGTCACGAGACAGCTTTGCTTTTCCTTATGACGTGAACTGTAGCTCCTTTGGTATCAGTATGTTGTTGTACACCGTTAAATGGGAACCAGCCCATAGCTGACCCTCCAGTGGGTTTTCAGAGGCTGTAAATCACACGGGAGAAGGTTGTCCATTTTTCTCGCATGGAGCATCTGGTGGATTTAAACCACGTACCTCTGAGTTGGCAGCACAGCTCCCTTCCACTAGGCCACCAGAGCTCCCTAAGGTATCAGTATAATGATTAATAAATGTTAAGGAAAATAATTTATTTAAGAAACCATTTATTTTTGGTTTGATTTTATGAAAAAAATGGAAATTGTTTGGTAATACATGTGATGTGGATGTTTACTGTCAAATTACCTTCTCTAACATGGCACTGTTACATAAGCTTTACATCCAAACCTCAAAATGCTCCTTACCGGCATTTTCCTCTTTGTTGTGCTGTTGTTTGTTGGTGGTGTTGAGTCAATTCGGAGTCATTGAACAACAGAGTGAACCATACCCAGTATTGGACCAGAATCAGTCCATCACATTGACAATCTTCCCCCCACTCTTTTTAAACAGACTTTCTATTTTACCAAGTGTGATAATCAAACAGTCCTCCAGGGACTAGTTCCTCATGTTTATATGCCCAGTGTATATAAGACAAAGTTGTGCCATTGTTGTTTCTAAGGGGCTTCTTCTGAGATAGACTTGTTTGACCTTTTTTTAGTCCATGGTATAGTATTGTTTATAAAATTAAACATTGTTTGCAACACCGTAGATCAAATGCACTAAATCTTTGACCTTATTCATTGTTAAACTTTTTCAGTGATATGATAATCTTGGTGTCAGGACTGACTTATAAGCGACCCACCCATTGGTTTTCAGAGGCTGTAAATCACACAGGAGGACAATGCCCATCTTCTTCCCTCAGAACCTCTGGAGCTGGTGGGTTTGAACCACTAGAGAGCTAGCAAACAAAGCTGCCTAAGAATTCAAGCGCCAATGCTCTTAAGAGCTAAATGCTGATATAAATGATGCTGCACTGCCATCTTGTGGCTGATTGGAATTACTTGGTGTCCTTTTCCTAATCAACAACTTAGGCATCCTTTTGCAGAGTTCATAACTTCAATATGGATGTAATTTGGCTTCTCAAGAATATTTTTTACGCAAAGAGTAATACTTATGTAATCTCAGATTTTTTTATTTTTAAGAAAACTAGTTCTTGTTGTTTTTGTTGGAACCAACCCAGAGCTGACCTTTCAGTGGTAAAGATATTTATGCAAAGAACAATACTTATGTAATCTCAAATTTTTAAATTGTTATTAAAGCTAGTTCTTTGTTGTTGTTGGAACTGACCCATAGCTGACCTTCAAGTGGTAAATTGCCCGGGAAGAGATTTGCCTTTCCTTCTCCCAAGGAGCAGCTGGTGGATTTGAACTGCACGCCTTTGCATTGGCAGCACAACTCCTTAGCACTGAATCTCTGATTTTTTTAAAGTGACTTCTCATGATGATTTTCTCAACCTTGAGAGTTTTGGTGGTGTTCTCCTCTTTGGGAAGGCTGCACTGAGTAGTAGCATGAGCACTGTACTTGGAGTCAAAAGACTGACATTCCAGCACCAGTTCTATTGCTTACTGGAAACTTTTCCTCTTGGGGTCAGATTAGGTGTCTTTTAAGGTCTCTTTTGCTGTAAAAGCTGTGATGTAAGGCATTTGATTCTAAATATGGAGTCAAAGCAAAAAGCTATAGCCAAAAAGGTTGTAAGCAATAGTTATCTGATAGTATCTGTGTTTTGAATTGTGAAAATTTGAATACCAGCAGTCCTGAGGGCTTCTGGAAAGAACATGTTCATTTAGACGAGGGTTTTTTTTTTTTTTTATTTAAAAAGTGTTTTTATAATAGCCTAATCCTGTACTCCCAGATTGTAACAACTCAAATCCAAACATCTAAAATACAGGTTACTAGGTGTGAGAAAACGTCAAGAGTTTTTTACTGACTATGAACTCTTCCTTAATGAAAAATGGGGTAAAGTTACCAAGCAGTCATTTAAGTAACAACTAAAGCAGCCACAATGCAGCCTCAGGCTAGCCTTATAGAGGTAGAGTGTAAGTAAGTAACTAAGAGGTAGAGAAAGGACTGGGTTTCATTGTGCTGTGATAGTCATTGACTCTAAAGGGACATTGGCAGCCTGGACCATGATCTAGATGGGAAGTGCAGTTTTGTGAAGTTATAAGAGTATTTGGGGATATTTATTCAAGAGAGAGAGCTGGGATGGGGATAGGCTTGCTAGGTGGATAGTTTGGGTTGCTTTTTTTGTGGTTCCAGAAGAAATACCTAGAACTGACACACTGGGAATATATCCAAGTGGATTTTAGATCATGATAGGGTAACTCTCTTCATACTTATTCATGACTGGCATCGTCTCTTGCTGTGTCTCAGTAATAGGATTTATGAGAAAAAGATGTGAAAAAATTATCAGTGCATTTATGGGAAAAGTAATTTAGCTAATAAAGCTTGAGAAGGCCACATGTGTTACATATATCTATATAGATCTATAGATCTGTAAGTCAGATGGAACAGTGGTGGTAATTTTTCCACAATTATATTTCATCTTGTACTTTAGAAAGAATAACACTTGTAGAAGTACCATTCATGGAGTGCTTAAGCCCTGGGATGTGGCACGTGGTTAAACATTTAGCTACTAATTGAAATGCCGACAATTTGAATGGACTAGCCACTCCACGGGAGAAGGCTGGAGCAGTCTACTCCTGTAACGACTTACAGCCTTGGAAACCTTCTATCAGGGAAGTTTTACTGTCATAGAAGGTTGCTGTGAATCCACATTGCTAACTACGCAGCAGTAGGTGTGGGTTTTTTGTGAAGTGTTTACGGTGGTGCTAGTGTGCATCCTGTACCTTCATTTGCATTCTGTTAAAGCATTGTTGGGAGATGAATAACCAATTTTACAGATGAGAAACTCAACGTCCTAAAACGTTAAAAATCATACAAGTACTAGGTGGCAAGGCTGGGACCTGAAGCCAGGTCTGTTTGATTATAATCTTGACTTCCTTTACAGACTTCTGGATGTCAGTCTTTGCCAATTTCTTTTCCCTCTTATGCTAGTTCATTTTGAGAGTAATACATTGGTTTCAAGTAAAAAAGTAATAATTGTATCATTTGGAATCAGAACCTATTCCACTGGCGATCATCAACCCATTAAAAACCGTTTATGAGCTGAGTTCATTGGGTGATTTGGAACCAAGAGGAAACTCATTCTAAAATGACTGACTTGAAATTTTGAGTGCTCATTAATTTTGAAGTTTTTAAGGGTTTTCTCCCCCTCCCCTTGATTATTTATTTCTCTACGGGATATTTTTTAAAAAAACTAATCACTAGTCTCTGCTTTCAAGAGATAATTCTGTTATATTAGCTAAAATAGTTTTTAGCTGAAAATGAAAAGTAATTCGATGTGTTTGTGCTTTTCTTCTCAGGTGTTAGAGTACCTCCTGTGGGCCAGTATGTGCATGGAGTCCTCCGTTCCGCTCCTGTCGGTCAGGTACTTGACGTGGAGGGCCACCCTCTACACTGCCGTCTGCCAGTGCTACTACGACTGCAAAAGTGGTGTTCATGGGGAGGTAGGTCTCACCTAACTCTGAGCACCCCACCACGTGAAACGATCTCCTTTAGCTGATGGGCAAGGGGAAGAGAGAGAAAGAAAGGAAACAAACACTCTGTTTGCAGAAAGTATCTTGGCTTCTCTATTCTGTTGATCTCTTGCTCTAGATTGACAACCTGATTCATGCATTAGGAGCTCTGGTGACTCAGTGTTAAGAAGTCGCACTGCCAACCCAAAGGCAGGCTGTGTGAACACACCAGCCGCTCTGTGGGAGAAAGATGAGCAGTCTCCTCCCATGTGATTTACAGCATCTGAAAACCCACTGCAGGCTCAGCTATGGGTCAATTCTGACTCAACATTACAGAACAACAGCTGGTCTCTACAGTTGTTGTTTTAGGTGCAGTCTTGACTCTGAATGTAGTGACCCTGTGTGCCACGTACACGCTGGTTGATCGGCACCATCGGCAGGACCTGAGCTGTTTTTAAGCCCATTGTGAAGGACACTGTGCTAATCCAGATCGTTGAGGGTGTTCTTCTCCTTGGTTTACTCTCTTTTCTAAACGTGATGTTCTTAACCTCTCCTGACAAAAAAATCTCACCATCCCTGCCTCTGAAGAGCACCCTGGCTGGACACCTTCCTAGACAAGTTTGTTTGGTTTTTTTGGAAAGCAATACTCTTTTCCCAGACCATTCAAGCCACTGCAGTGTGACGTATTGACAGACAAGTGATTGTTTGGTGTTCTGAACTGTGTTTGGTTTAATTGTTACCTAAATCAGCAGAGAAAGGGAGAATTTCTGTTGGATTTGTCCTTATGGAAAATTCAGCTGTTCAAATTGTGGTCTTAAAGATATTAATATTTATATATTAAAGATATTAATGAAAAATTATAAATACTTTTGAAAATTTTCAAAGAACTGCTAAAGTGTATTTTATAAATTGAATTCCTCTAGTTATTATGCCTCTCATTGCTGTGGAGTCAGAACTGACTCATAACTGGCCCTCTGCTGGGTTTCTGAGGCTGTCAATCCCATTGGAGGAGATTGGTCATCTTTCCCCCTCAGAACTGCTGGATGATTAAAATCACCAGAGAGGCATAGGTTCGCAGCCCAGCCCCCACAGACTGTGCCACAGTACAGTGACGCTTCCTGCCTTCTTTTTAAAAAATATCCATTCACTATCTTCTATATGGTGGGTTAGATTGTACACATCAGGAAAGCTCTGCCTCTCTTTCCTTCCTGAATCTCAAAACTCTTTTTCTGGTAATGGCATCAGGGTGCAGACTGGCTAGTGCCCCCTGGGGTTACCTGGGTTAGATTGTGCAGATCAGGAACAAAGATTCTCACCTCTGGGCCAATTGGCAGCATCAGTATGGATGGTGAAGAGACTGAGATAGTTAACAGTTTTAGTTTACTTGGCTCCACAGTCAACACTCTTGGTAAGAGCAGCCAGAAAATCGAGAGACGAATTGCATCAGAAAAGTCAGCTGTGAGGGACCTCTCAAGAGTACTGAAGAGCAACGATGTCAGGCAGGAGATTAAGGAGCGCCTGATCCGGGCTATAGTCTTCGCAATTACGTGCTATGCATCAGAGAGTTGGACAGTGACTAAGGATGATAGAATGAGAATTGATGCCTTTGAGCTGTGGTGCTGGAGAAGATTGGACTGCTAGGAGAACAAACAAGTTTGTCCTGGAGAAGGTGAAGCCAGAATGCTCCTTGGAGTCAAGGATTCTGAAGCTTTGTCTGACATACTTTAAGCATGTTGCAAGGAGAGACTGGTCCTTGGAGAGGGACATCATATTTGGCAGAGTGGAGGGGCGGCAAAGGAGAGGAAGACCTTTGATGAGATGGATCGATTCTATGACTGGAGTGGTGGGAAGAGTGCATTTGAGATGGCTAGGTTAGCACAGGATAGAACAGCGTTTAGAGCTCTTGTACATAGATAGGGTCGCCATGAGTTGCAAGCAACTTGATGGCACATAACAACAACAACAACATCTTTTGTATACTCAGTTCTAAAGTTAAAGTGGTATTCTTTGGAGGCAAAGATCTTGAGAGCTCATTTCACATACTCTGGGCATATTGTTTGGAGGGGCCAGTCCTTTGAAGGACATTGTGTTTAGAAGGGCGGCTGGTCAGCAATCAGCTTAAGAGAGGCAGACCCTCAGTCAGATGGATTGACACGATGGTGACTGTAACAATGGGCTCAAGGATGTTGGAGATGGTGAAGATGGCACAGGGCAGGGCAGGGTTCAGGTTAGTTGTTCCTAGGGTCTCTATGAATTACACATGACAACCACAAGCCTTTGCATCGGAAGTCCTTTTGCTCTGTAATAAGGAGTTGCACTGCCAATCCAAAGGTGCACAGTTTGAATCTACCAGCTGTTCTGCTGGAGAAAGATGGATATTCTCCTCCTGCTTCTGAAAACCTACTGGAGGGTCAGCTATGAGTCGGTTCTGGGCCAACAACAACAGATTGGAAAGCGCACTGGCAGAACAGTGTTTCAATGCTTGTATACTAATTGAAAGCTTGGCAGTTGGAATCCATCAACATCTTTGTGGGAGAAAGATATGGCAGCCTGTTTCTGTGAAGACTTACAGTTTTGGAAACCCTGTTTGTACAGTTCTACTCTGTTCTATGAGGTTACTGTCAGTTAGAGTATGCTCAGTGGGTTTAGTTTGGTAGATGGAGATACGGGAATAAATAAGGACCTTTCGTGACTTCACCATGTAGTGGACATCATAAACAACTGCATAGTCATTGCACAGTGTATTATGTTCTATTTTAGAGAGGTTGGGGTTTGAGAGGAACACTGACATTGGTTATTTGTGTGTGTATGTGTGCAGCACCTGAGGAATGATAATGGATATTAATTATATACTGCTACACCCACAGCTCTCTTTTTCTGTGTTTTAAATTTCTTGATTGGCAAAGTTAGTATACCTGACAGTTTAACTTTTAGAGATACACAGTGTAACGGTGCTCCGAGAGCTACTGTGGTAGAAGGAGACAATATCACCTTGAAGTTTAATTCACTGATTAAATCAAGTGTCTGAGTGACTAAAATGTACTGTCCTGATGCATTTTTAATCTCAATTCTCTTTACTTGTTATGAATTAAATTTATTTTAATCCCATTTAGGCATTTGCTCGGCGTGCCTTGGGGAAAATTGATGAGTTGAGACAACTGGAACTAATGAGTTCCACACAACAGCAGGAAGACTCTAGAAGATATTATAGAGAGGCCACGATAAAGGTATACAAACTTCATGCAGCAGAAGCCAGTGCCAGTACTTCTCGGTTGATGAAATACTTTCTATTTATTAGTAACTGGGGAGGCTGTGCCATTGTTTCTTCACTTCTAACACTTCTTTCTGGGGCAGATGGCAGTGATGGTCTTCAAAAGGGGAGTGTTTGAGTCTCGAAGAAAGAACAAAACCATTTTTAGACCAAAGCAAAGAGTCAACCTGAAGGAAGTACAGACAGTAAGTCAAAGACCTGTTTAAGCCTTTCTGCAGTGTGTTTATCTTGCACGCCAGTAACTTTTAAATTTCATCATTGCACCCTTTCTCAAAGCTTCTGTGCCTTCACAGTCTGAAGAAATGCTTGGAGAAGGTGCAGATGAATCCCTTTGTGAATGAACATGCCTCCAAGTTGTTCTCCATGGGCCTTTAGGTTTAATGTTAATGCAAGCACCTTTTCTCTTTAAGGTTTAAGCTTGTGGGGAGTTTTGGGAACTGGATTAAACAGTAGCAGGGAACAATCTCTGCATCAATTTGATTCCTGCTTGAGTTGGATGTCATGGCAGTTACCAGGGAGGGTTGGCTGTGATGGTGATACAGGGTTTCCTGAGAAGCAGCCCTTTAAGAAAATTGGTGGTTCTGCCAAAGAAGAAGAAAAAAAGAGCTTTGGAGGATCTCCTGGGGCAATAATGTTGAGCTGCAAGTGACCTGAATCTCTTTATTACACGTCAAAACCCGTCACATAATGTTGTTGTTGTGTACCTTTAGTCAGCTACAACTCAACAACCCTGTGAACAACATAACCAGAGCCTTGTCCTCCTCTGCCAGCCTCAGAATCTCCAACATGTTTGAGCCATTGTTAGAGTCACGGTGTCAGTCTATCTTGTGCAGGCTCTTCCACTCTTTCTCTGACCCTCCACCTTTCCCCAGCATGATGATTTTTCCAAGCACTGGCCCTGCTGAAGTGAAGTGCAGTCACAACCACAAGGGGGCATTTTGAAGACAGCATTAAGGGCTTCTGCAGGAGTAGCTTAGCCTGTGGAGTCCCCACCCTCTTTTCTCTCTCCTGCCTTTTTTCTTCTCCCCCACCGTCTTCCCCTTTGCCTTTCTAAGTCTCGGTAACTTTCCAGCTCAGTTCTGTAATGCTTAAAGTTTGTCTTAGATGTTCTCAACGGCCTCAAATTTTCTTCTCTGAGCTTCCTTGTGGTGACTGAAAATAAAAGTGAGGGGAAGGAACATGTGTCGTTTTTGACAGAAGAATTCTCAGAATCTGAGAATGACTAGAAATGATCAGGGTGTTTTTCTTCTATAGATACGGGAGAAAGAGCTCAGAGTATATAAATCACTGGCTCGATGTTACCAAGCCAGCGGCTGCAGAACTGGCAGCAGAGTCCAAATTCTAGAAACTTAAATTCAGTGTTTTCTCACTACACCAATGACTACTATTCTCTTTTATCTTATCTACTTATACCACATATACCAGTTGTTGTTGTTGTATACCATCGAGTCAGAACTGACCTATAACTGACCCATCAGTGGGTTTCCATGCCACTTAATCAATCACGTTTTCCACTCCCCCCCATCCCCAACCCCCTGCAAAGAGCAGCCGGCAGATTCAGACTATATACCTTTAGGATGGCAACCCAATTCCTTACCTCTAAGCCACCAGAGCTCCCTCTCATACTTTGTAGGAGTATTTTTTTATTTTAAATAAATTATAATGAAATAAAAATATTTTTGGAACACAGTAGCTTTCTATGGCTACGTATGACTGCTACAGATCTACTGTTGATCTCAGAGGTACATAGAGTTTATACATCCCTTTTAAAACCATATGTACTAAGAACCACCAGTGTATCATTTGTAAAATGGCAACTTGCCACCTTATACATAATTCCTTAGATCAGCTGATGACTTGATATTGTTCATTAGTACACTGACTCCTCACTAATCCAAAGACCAGGTCCTTATGTAAAAACTAACATTTATGGAAAAATGGACAATGGATCACATTGGATCACAAAATGGATGATGATTATGTAACATCATTCTTTTACTGCCAAATTATGTCATTGCATAAGTGACATATTTCATCATTACCTAATTGCCAAACCACTGAGAATCATGGCCTAACCCAGCTGATGTATAACTAAACTTTAACCCTTTCACCATCACAAACTGCATCATTTTCGGCTCACACCTCAGCATCCATGCTGTCAGATGCATGTTGCTAGTGCTCAACACAATTGGGAAGGTAGACTTTTTACTGTTGTAATTATGTGCTATTAGACCCTAAGGCAATTGATAATGGAGAAGGATATACAATGCTGCCGTATTTGTAAGAGAAGAGAGGACTCTTGTCCTCCTCAATATTTCTTTTTTCTTCTAAGCAAACACAAATTTGAGTTCTAGAAGATGTAACACTAGTTATCTATAATGGTAAAGGAGTGTCAACTTAGCCAGGTTTTAATTCACAGATCAAAGAAAACATCTGGGAGAATAACACACGATGCATCTTGATAAATTTTATTAGAATTTGACTGGTAGTCACTTTATATTGTTATTATGATGTGACTTCTTGTGGGGAACCTGTGGTGGTGTAGTGTGTAGCAAGTTATGCTTTACCAGTTCTGCAGGAGAAAAATGACCGTCTCCTCCATTTAAGATTTACAGCCTCAGAAACCCAATGAAGGCCATTGTGAGTTGGGACCAAGCAGATGGTAATGAATGAGTGAATGTGATTTACTCATTTTGTGTGCTGTCAAATCAGAGCCCACCTGCAGCTGACCTCAAGCAGGTTTTCAGAACAGTAAGTTCATGAGAGGAGATTGTTCATCCTCCCTCAGAGCAGCTGGTGGATTTGAACTGCATCCCTTTGGAATTGCAGCACAGCTCCTTCCCATTAGGCCACCAGAGCTCCCTTTAATATTCCAGATAAAGTTGTTATATTAAAAACCTCATTTATTGTTGGTTTCCTTCATGATAATTGTTGTATGAATTTTTTTAGAAAAAAATTACAATTGTAAAGTAGGTTTTTTTGTGAATATTCTTTTTCTAATGTTATGCTATAGTACCTTGATGGGTTTTGCAGATGTCCAAAATTATACTTTTGATACATGTCTACAAAATATTTTCCAATCAGCTGTGACTCAGTTGTTAGTTCACAGTAAGTCACTTTGACTTTCAAAGGATTCTGTAAAGGATTATGAATTCAGGGTCTTCTCTTCTTGGACGAAATGCCTGCAGGATGGAGAGGCTTTGTCCCACAGACTTTGTGCATGTTGTCTGGAGGGGCCAGTCTCTGGAGAAGAACACTGTACTTGGAAAGGTAGAGGGTGAGAAGAAAAGAGAAGGCTTTCAGTGGGAGGGATTAGCATAGTGACTGTAACACGGGGCCTACACACAGTGGAGATTGTGAGGATGGTGCAAGGGGTTCAGTCTGATGTCATGAAGCCACTATGACTTGATGGCACTAACATCGACCATTTAATTATGTGTTTAATAAACATTTAAGTATGTCATTATGTTAACAAGATTGATGTCCTCATGTTTTGTTTATAGTCTAGTGAAAAATTGAAATAATTAATAAATATGGTGATTGTAGTTTGTGATGAGTTCAACTAGGCCACCAGAACTCCTCAATACATATGTAGCAGATATTAAAAATGTATAATAATTAATAGGGAGCTCTGATGGCCTAGTGGCAAGAAGCTGTGCTGCAATTCCGACGGCATGTGGCCCAAGGCAACCAACTGCACCGAGGGAGAAGGATGGGCAAACTCCTCCCATGCGATTAATTGCCTCTGAAAACTCACTGGCGGGTCAGCTATGGGTCGGTTCCATCTCTATGGAACACAACAACAACACAACAACTAATATATATACATCAACTCATTACTGTCGAGTTGGACACCACTTATAGCTGACTTCTGGTGGGTTTTCAGAGACTAAATTGCATAGGCCAAGATGGCCTATCCACTATTGGTGGATTTGAACTATCAGAGACGTGCTGCCTTCGGCCAGCAGCACAACGCTGGGGAGGAGCCACCATGCTCCTCAGAACCTAACGGTGCTGATGTTACCAGGAGGGACCAATCCCTGAGTAAACCGGTGGTAAAGTAGAGGGTGAAGTTGGTGGAGGCTCCACAGAGAGAGAGGAAGGCTCCCCATGAGGTGGACAAACGTCGTGGCTTCGACAAGGTGCTTAAACACCTCAGCGGTTATGGAGATGGCACAGGGTCAGGCAGCGGTTCATCCACGTCAGAAGTGACTCCTTAAAATAGAATACTTTCTTCTTTTAAAGACCTTTAAAATATTTATGTTTTGGGGGAGGGTGGGAGGATTGTGTACCAACAAAGAAGTTTTATCTTTTGCTTTTTTTGTATGCATTTTATCTTTTATTTATTTATTTATTTTTCATTTCAATGAACATCTACAGAGATTTTGGAATTCTGTTCATTCATTGTTGCACCCTTCTCCCTGTCCCCTGCCCCCTTCCCCCCGTTTGCTCCTCTCCTTGAAAAGCAAAAGAAAAACTCCCTCATTGGTACACAATCCCCCCCGCACCTCCCCAAACCCCACCCCCACCCCCACCCCCAAATATAATCCACTCTGCAGCCCTCATTCCGTACTCTTGTAAACATAATGCCCTAAAATATAATGCTTTTTCTTTTATTTTAAAATTTATTATTATTAGTATTAATTTCAATGAACATCTACAGAGATTTTGGAATTCCAGTAATTCATTGTTACACTTGTCTCTCCACCCACTCCAGCCCCCTTCCCCCCGTTTGCTCCTCTCCTTGAAAAGCAAAAGGCAGTTTGTCTTTTCATTTGTACTTTTGCTTTTTAAAGAGAGAAACAAAATGGGGAGGGACGGGGGTAGAGAAAAAAGTGTAACAATGAATGAATGAATGGAAATCCAAAATCTCTGTAAATGTTCATTAAGACTAGTAAAATAAAATTGGGAAAAAAAAAACCAAACGAAAATTCCAGGGAGGAAGTGGAAATAGTGCAAGTACATTGTGAATATTGTAATTAATGTTATAAAACATGGTGGATTTGAATGATTGGATGAAAAATCAGTTTGGTTTGTAAACAAATGCTTAAGGCACAATAAAATATGAATTAAAAAAATTATGTTTTAAAACCTGGTTATTATTATTCATGCACAGCTCTAATAAACTTTTTATTCCACTTTCTGCTAGTTTTTCTATTACCTTTGTTAAAATGATTTCAGTCTTTAATCCATCTGAAGTTTGCCATTTAATTTTGAATGCTTCCAATTATTAGAAACTTTACTATCTTATTTAAATATGGTTTTAAATAGCTCTGTGATAGAGTGAAAAACCCCTCAATGTAACCCTTAACTCTGCTTGTTAGGAAAGAGAGGACAGGGCATGAAGTTCAAGTTTTATTGCAGTTTTTTGATAGTTTAATGTGTTTTAATAGCACACTTAGAGAACAGCACAGCTTTAAAAACACGTACTTGCACGTAGGAAAGCCCAGTAAGAAAAGTCTTGTGAGTGGATGGAATTTATGATGAAAATGCTGCAAACACTATATATTGCCATCAATACGAAAGTTGGGTTTTGTTTTCTTTCTTTTTTTTTTTTTTTAATACATTGTCCAGGAAAATTTAACAAGCTTATTTGTAGTTGATAAAAAGTTGAACTGCTGAGACTTATTCATGGAAACATTTTTTTTTCTTGCAATAATGTTTTCTGTCCCCACATTTATATTAGACATTTACACTCAGTGAAAATGGAAAACCTGCCAGAACCTGGTTTCTGCCTCCTATTTTTACATTCCTAGTGGTAAGAAGTTGCCCTGCAATTTCGAAAGCAAGCAGTTTGGATCCACCAGCTGCTGTGTTGGAGAAGGATGGGCGATCTCCTCCTGTGTGATTTACTGCCTTTGAAAACTCTCTGGAGGGTCAGCTATTATTTGATTCTGACTAGACCATGCGTAACAATAATGTTCAAGAATTACCAATTAAAGTAAGAAGACTTACCTTTTTTTTAAAAAAAGGAATTAAATGTTTTCCATCATAGTGGATTTCTAAGCCCGTTATCCATGTATGCAGCATGCTACCTGGATGTCTTGTGTCCTAATTACTAATACTTTTGGCATGAATAGCACACAGGTTATCAAAAAGGCCATTCAGCTCAGCCTGTCTTGCCTCTTGCAAAGCACCAATAGCTGTGCTTTGAACGTGCAGATCTGTTTTGAAGTCTTAAGCAATTTCTTGCACCAGATGCTAGAAGGCAATTTTTTTTTTGTTTAACTTTTAAAAAAAAATTTTTTTTTACAGAGGTTTTGGATTTCCATTCATTCATTGCCGCAATTTTCTTCCTTCCCACCCC